TGTATCAGAAGAAAGGGAAATAGGGAATAGAATCCATTTACAATCATGCCAAAAGCATGAAGTACCTGGGAATAACTAAAGGACCTGAATATTGAAAATTATAAAATTTTGTGAAAGGTAGTAAAAGAACTGAAAAGATATCCCATGTTCATGGGTTGGGAGAATTAGCATCATTAAAATGGCCCCATTACCAAAAGCAATTTACAGATTCAATACCTATCAAAATACCAATGACTTTTTTTTCTTTATGATTTTGTTTTATTTTTGTGTAGAAGAGCTAGGGTGTAGGCCAGAGGTGCTGGGAGGGGGAGGATGTGTGAGAGAGGATTCACCAGAGACAGAGTAGGGAGCAGATTATGGAATGTCTATACAACAGACTACTATGCAGTCATCAAAGTGTTTTCTGTTATAAACACTAAAACACCCTCAACATGACATTAATTTGGATCCATTAAAATATACTGCTAAGAGGAGTAGTGGGCGAGACAGGAGAGGTCTGCTAGGTCATATGTAGGTTAGCTCCCTGGCCAGGGATCAAACTCAGAAGTAATGGTGATAGCACTGAGACTTAACCCCTAGGCTACCACGGAGGCCCCAATTACTTTCTTCAAGAAATAGAACAAACAATTATCAAATTTATATGGACCTACAAAAGGCCCTACAAAAGCTAAAATAATCCTGAGAGAAAGAAAAAAAGGCAGTATCACACTTCCTGACTTCAAACTATACTATATAGCAACAGTAAGCAAAACAGTAAGGTACTGGAACAAAAACTCAAACCAGTGGAATAAAATTGAAAGCCCAGATATAAACCCATACAAATATGGACAGTTAATCTTTGACAAAGCAGCTATGGCCATACAACAGTGTTGGGAAACATGGTAACCACTTGCAAAAAAATAAAACAACACCGATACCAATATAAAACTTAATTCAAAGTGGATTAAAGATCTATATAGAAGAACTGAAACCATAAAGTACTTGAAAGAAAACATAGGGGACACCAAGAGCCTCTACCACAGGATATCTACCACAAAGATTTATTTGGGGCCTCAACCCCAATGCCAAGGGAAACAGAACCAAAAATAAATGAGACTACATTAAACTAAAAAGATTTTGTACCTCAAGCGAAACCACCACAAAAACAAAAAGACAACTTACAGAATGGGAAGACATATTTACATATCACACATCTGACAGACAGCTAATCTTTAAAATTTACAAAATTTTTATATAATCTAACAACAAAGAAACAACCCAATTGAAAAATGGGTAAAGGACCTAAATAGGTACTTTTCTAAAGACATTCAGATAGCCTACGGACATATAAAAATTTGTTCAACATCATTTATTAGAAAAGAAATGCAAGTAAGGCCTAACCCCTGGTGGTGGCATAAGGGGTTAGGCACCGCACTATGAAGCAATCCGCAGCCTCTGCAGCACAAGTTCGATCCCCGGCCTGCCAGGGAGAAACCCACATGGCACAGCAGACCTCTCCTGTCTCGCCCGCTGCTCCCCTCAGCAGTGTTTCAGTCAGTCTGCCTGTTCTGCTCCCTACTCTCTCTGGGGAATCCTCTCACCCCCGCACCTCTGACCTTCACCCCAGTTCTTATTAGAATTCCATAGCACTCAACTCGTATCTTTGTCCTAGAACTTACCAAATTATGTGATGATGATCTCCTTATTTAAATGACTGAAAACTGCTCAGAGTAGGAACTTTAGTTTTTAAATGGTCTTCTCAAGGACACTATACTGCTTAGCACAGAGTAGGCCCTCAGCAAGTTCTTACTGTGAGTGCTTCACTGACTACATGACTGATGCCTGAAAGAGACTCCGCTTTTCTGCTTCCTTGAAGGGGGTACTGCTGCTGCTAGGCATGGGAGAGGGGCAGAGAGGAATGATTCTCTGAACTAAAACATTGTATACTTGAATAATCCTCTCCTTCCTTCCCCCGGGGATGGTTTCTTTTTGTGCTAGTTGTGGGGACGTGCATATATTTCAGTATTTTTCTGTTAACTTTAGTTTTAGGATTATTTAAAACATGAAAACAGCTGTGTAGGATGATGGGACTATGAGTGATGCTGGATAGCCAGCCCCTTGCCTAGCCCATCTCAAAATTGTAGCTTTTGTTTCATAAAATAAGAACTTTTTTTAGACCTTTTCTTTCCCAGATGCACTAAAACCCTATTTAAGAAAGTACTGGCTCTTTCAAAATCACAGTTGAAGAAAAAGCAAATTTTTTCTGGTAAGATGAAAATATTTGAGATAAATCTGTTTAGCACAATGACAAAGGGTTAATGGAAGGGTTGTAGTTTTTAGTTTGGAAGTTCAACAACCCTCATGTTGCTGGGTTAGAGCAAACTGGTATATTTTAGTGCATATGTGACAACAGTTGTGGGAAAATGGTGTATTTGCTGAAAGACGCTGAGTCCTACACAGAATTCATTTCCTCATTCAATTTTGCACTGCGGGTCACTGACTACATCTTTTTGCATGGTGTTTGTCCTGCACAAAGTTGTTGCTTTGTTATATGAGAAATAGTCTCTAATCAGCTTGAAAGAACGGTTAAAAAGGATCTGTGTTTAGGACGGCTGTGTTGATACCCAGGGCAGCCAGTGTAGTCTGCAAGTAGGGACAAAAGATTTAGCAATGGCAGCAGGGGCATAAATACTTTTTTTAAAAAATATTTTATTTTATATAATTCTTACATCTTTTTTTTTTTTAAAGATTTATTTAATTTATTTATTTATACAAGCACTGGGTACAGTCAGAAGCGCGGGAGGGTGAGAGAATTCACCAGAGCCAGAGCGGGGAGCAGAGCAGGCAGAAGGACTGAAGTACACTGCTGAGGGGAGCAGCGGGCGGCAGGAGAGGTCTGCGCGCCATGTGGGACCCGCCTCCGGTGGCCGGGGAGCAGCCAGGGATCGAACCGGCGCCGCAGAGGCTGCGGGCAGCTTTGCAACCCAGCGCTCAACCGCTGCGCCATTGGGGAGGCCCTCATTTTTCATTTTTGCACAATGTATGCATTTTCATTTTGGTTATATTCCCCGTACAATTGCACCCCCCACTTATTTTGACCCTACTCCTTCCTCTCCCCACCCCCTCACCCCAGTGTGTCTCTGGTTTATAGTTCCTTGTTGATTTTGATTTTTACTTTGTATTAGTCTTTTTCCTGGTCCCTTATTTAGGTTTTCTAAATTCCTGCTATGAGTGAGACCAACCGGTATTTTTCTTTTTCTTTCTGGCTTATTTCGCTGAGCATGATCCCTTCCAGCTCCATCCATGTTGCTGCAAATGGCATGAGTTTATCTTTTTTGAATGCTGAGTAATATTCCATGGTATATATGTACCACATCTTCTTGATCCAGTCATTTATTTTTGGGCATTTGGGTTGTTTCCAAAGCTTAGCTATTGTAAACAGTGCTGCTATAAACATAGGGGTGCAGGTGCACTTTTCAATGAATGTTTCTGTGTCCTTTGGGTAATTACCTAGGAGTGGAGTTGCTGGATCATATGGGAGCTCTATGTTTAGTAGGTCAAGAAATCTCCACACAGCTCTCCATAGTGGTTGGACCAGTTTGCACTCCCACCAACAGTGCAGGAGAGTTCCTTTTTCTCCACAACCTCGAGGAGCATAAATACTTTTGGACTCAGCTGCTTCTATATTGCTGCAGAGCCTTTTGTGAAGAAAAACTTTTTTTTTTTTTCAGATTTATTTATTTATGCATACAAGAGCTGGGGTCCAGGCCAGAGATGCGGGGGGGGGGGGGGCGGGAGGCAGGTGATTCACCGGAGACAGAGTGGGGAACAGAACAGGCAGATCCACTGAAATACACTGCTGAGGGGAGCAGCAGGCGAGTCAGGAGAGGTCTGCTGCGCCATGTGGGTTGCTCCCTGGCAGGCCGGGGATCGAACCCGTGCTGCAGAGGCTGCGGATTGCTTCATAGTGCGGTGCTTAACCCCTGGCGCCACCAGGGAGGCCTGAGAAACTTTTTTTAAAGACTTGTCTTGCAGACACATTTTGGAGGTTTCTAGCTTAAATTTATGCTTTCAGAGAAAATGTTCCAGAGAAGTGCAATTACTACGGGTTAAATTGAAACAACAGAAGTCACTTGATTCTGAGGAACTTTAGCTATGTAGAAAAATGTGTTAGTATGAAATGGCTGGAGTAAGAAAAAGACCACCAGGTACTGTGGGGGATGCTTTTCCACCCATTTTCTCATTTTTTAAGCCTTATCTTTTCAGATGAGGATGTTGAGGCCCAGTGAGGTTAAATGATTTGCCTAAGTGTCAGTCACAGCAGTGAGGAGAATGGGTTCTTTTTGACTTTCAAATCTGTTAGATTACTAGACTCTTCCCTTGGTATCTGGCCAGGTGGCGGGTATCCCAGCAGACAGAAGTTTTCTGTTTATTTCGAGAGAGGTTTCTTACTGGTCTAGCTCTTTGCTCTCTCCCGCATTGTCTTAACACAGTTTAAGGGGTTGACTGTGGAGCTGAGTGTGCCAGCACATGTTTCTTCACCTGTTGGGTAGCTAGCCCCTTGCCTAGAGCTCTTCTCAAAAGTATAGGTGCTGGGCCTCCCCGGTTGCGCAGCAGTTGATCGCTGGGTTGCGAAGCTGCCCGCAGCTTCTGCAGCACCGGTTCAATCCCCGGCTGCTCCCCGGCCACTGGCGAGGGTCCCACATGGCACGAAGACCTCTCCTGCTGCCCGCTGCTCCCCTCAGCAGTGTATTTCGTCAGTCTGCCTGTTCTGTTACCCTCTCTGGCTCTGGTGAATTCTCTCACCCTCCTGTGCTTCTGACTGTACCCACCGCTTGTATAAATAAATAAAAAAAAAAATCTTAAAAAAAAATAGTATAGGTGCTTTTGGGAGTTAGCTGTCACTTGGGGCCTGTTGGTTTTATTCTCTCCTGTACCACATTTTAGCATAGTGGGTGGTGCCCAGGGTGTAACCTGGGCAGAATTCATGAACAGATTTCTCTGCCAGGTCATGGCTGCTCCTCTAATGTCTCAAACCTCATGGCCATAGTCAGGAAACTTGTTTTTGTCTACGTAAACATGACGGCGGGACAAGGATGTAATTATGGTAAGCTTTTGACTGTGTTGAAACAAATCTTATTCCTACCTGAAAAGCTGGTTGAGGAGGGCTGTCAGGGGCGATGCTACCTTTCCTGTACTTTAGTCAGTTTAGACCATTTCCCAAAGGAAGACCAGAGCTGTATGGCCTGTGACCACGCCCTCGCTGCCAGGTGTCAGCAGCTTGTAGTTACTCATCCGCCTAGACAGAGTCGAGCCACTGACCTTGAGTTAAAATATTTTTTGTTGCATGACTCATCTTTTGGCTTTTTCTTTCACCAGGAAATACACTGAATATTAATTTTAGGCATTTCAATTTTTCCTTCTAAAGAGTGTGTTACAAATGAAATTACTGGCTCTCATTTTTTTCTGGTAATCAGCAGGACCACACATTGGTTTATACGAGGCGGTAGTGCTAACTTCAGGCGTGAGCGAGGGGGAGATCTGATTAACTGTCTAGGGAAAGGCTTTTGAAGATGACCAGCCTTTCTGACTTCCGTCAGAGTTTCCTCTCCACCAAAGGAATAGGGATGCAGGAGGGCGAATCTGAGGCTGAATAAAGCAGGTATTGTGTGTGTGTGTGTGTGTGTGTGTGTGTGAGAGAGAGAGAGAGAGAGAGAGAGAGAGAGAGAGAGAGAGAGGGAAAGCTCCAGCTGTAAATACCACATCACTGTTGACAGTACACTGGACTCTTCACGGAAGGCCCCGTCAGACCAAAGCAGGAGGAATTGTTCCCATACTTAAAGCCAAGAATAACATCCTGGCCAGCGGGGGACAGAGGTCAGCTCAAGGCAGCAGCTCTTGGGAGCTACAGGACATTAAGAACTTTGGAAGAACCGAGTTGCATAGGCAGGGAGCCAGTAAGGACTGTGAAGGAGTGTGTGAAACCTGTGTGTCTCCTACGGGGGCATGGCTTATTTATGAAACAGGAAAAAATCTTAAGAGTTGGATATGTGATGAATTAGTATTTTCTCTTGATCATTTAACTAGATTTCCCCCTCCTGCTTGTATACTGATTTGTCTGTTTACTGTTTTTATTAGAAAAGGGAAAAGTATGTTCTTTTCTGGTGTTTTGTTCTATAAACACTGTCCCAGAAGCCCAGGAGAGAGCTGGATTTAAAAGATAAGTTAAATGAAAAAGCAAACACACTTGGGGCCTCCCTGGTGGCGCAAGGGGTTAAGACACAACCTGTGAAGCTGTCTGCAGCCTCTGCAGCACGAGTTAGATCCCTGGCTAGAGAGCTACCCACACAGTGCAGCAGACCTCTTTTGGCTCGCCCACTGCTCCCCTCAGCAGTGTGTTTCTTCAGTCTGCCTGTTCTGTTCCCCGCTCTGTCTCTGGTGAACCCTCTCACTACCCCTCACCCCCGCCCCCCCCAGCATCTCTGGCCTGTACCCCAGCTCTTGTATGAATAAATAATTTTTTTTTAAAAAACACCCTTTACAAAATCTCCACAGGACCTTCCAAACTGGTTTAAGTTTTGTTCTGGGACGTTTCTGTGCTTATTTCTTTTCTCTTGGCATCTTTCCTCATTCTGATGCTGGCCACTCACCCTGCAGAGACAACTCAAACTGTTTTCTGGTAGCGCATTCTAAGTTTGTCCTGCTATCATTTTTTTTTTTTTTTTTTTTGATTCATTTCTCTTGTCTTGGTTCAGTTGTTTCTGGGCCAACATAATTTTCAGAAAGCTTTTCTTCACGACCTTTATTTCTTAACCCCTTTACTTATGTACTTTGCCTTCTGCTTCTCTCCTTTTCCAGTTTGTAAATTGTATTTTGGGAGGTTCAAAAGCTCAGGGGCAGCCTCAGGTGTCTTAGATTTTACTCTGGTTTATGAAGTACCTTTCTTCTTTCTTAGAATTCGGGAAATGAGTCAGGTGCTCTGTTGTGAGGTATTGCTGGCTCTCTTGGGGCTCTTATTTGTTAGCGGTTTGAACATGTATGTAGTGATTTGGATTGCATTTTCCATTTCGGACTTGTTGCCAGGACTGTAGTGGGCCATTGCTGTCACCCTTCCTCCCCTTGTTTTCCAATGGAAAAAAATTAAAGGTGGAGAATTATCTCATCTGTGGTCATATAATTTGGTCTTGTATCTTTGAAACAAAACCACATTTTTTTATTCTTTATACTTTGTAGCACAGATATTGATAATATCTTAACTGTGGATTGGTGTTCGATCCATTAAAGTTCAGAATTCTCATCAAGTTGATTACATTTTGGACCTACACGTGAGAAAAATTTTTGAATGGAAGGGAATAACTAGTCATACAGAAAGTGTTTAGTAATTTCACATCTGTGTGCAAAAAATCCTGATGTAAATCTTATTCTAAAATGAAGAAGTAGAAGGGTGGTTTGCTTAGAGTGGAAACTGGTTGTAACATATGGAGAAATAGGATGAGCAAGGTTAAAGAGCACATCAAGAGATCAGAAAAATTCTAAGAACAGGCTTCTCATTGGAGATCAGACAAATGAAAATTTCCCACTTCCCTCCCTCCCCCATCCCTCACCACCACAGCAGCAGGCTCTCCTGCCCTCCCCTACAAACCACTAGCCAGCTGGGCTGTTAATGAAGCTGAGCATGGTGCCCTGTTTAGGGACTGCCATGCGAAGTGCAGAGAGGTTCTGTGGGGCAGTGCAAAGAACTTTTGACCTTTTGCGTTGCTAAATTCTTCCTATAGTGCTGCTCACAGAAAAATACTGCTAATTCCAAAACCGAAACCAATTTCTGATTGTTTTGCTGTGTCCAGTTGGCTTGTGGAACCAAAGCAGCAGCTGAGACTGCTGTGCTGCACTGTGTATTCTGCAACACTGTGTATTCTGCTGCACTGTGTATTCTGCACTGTGTATTCTGGGCCCTCGTCAGAGGGCCCAGCTCACTTTTTTCCTCTTGAAAAGCAACAACAAAACTGTTTTTTGCTTTGGGCTAGTAATTTGCATCTCATTTGGGAACCTTGGTCTTCCCCTCATTATTTCTTCATGCATCCCTGTACTAAGCTCTGCTCTCTGAACTTGGCTCTGACCTCATTTAGTTGTATAGATTTTAACTATTTCTGGTTTCAGATCAGTTTCCAACTTCTGTCTTTCCCTGTTCATTCAGTAAACCGTGGGTTCAGACTTGTTTCGGGAAAGGATATTTTTTTCTGCTTGTTTTTTGTTTGTGTAAATTTGTTTTCTAGTTACTAATTATTCTTTACTTTCTTTGTCAAATAGGCCACCAAGCAGTTTCTCGAAGAGATCAACAAGTGGACAGATCAGTACAACGTTTCCCCTCTCTCTTGGAATGTTGCTGTCAAGTTCCTCATGGCCCGGAAGTTTGATGTGCTCCGTGCAGTAGAGTTGTTCCATTCCTACAGAGTGCGTAGCTCCGGGTGGGCCAGGCCTATGGTAGTTGGGTTTTATGTATTGCTGTTCTTTGTGCCACTCTACACACTCAGTGGTTCTCTGAGTGTTCTCCCCAATTCTATAAAAAAACCAAAAAGAAAGTGGATTCACAGGATGGGCATGTCCAGTGACTGTGTTCTCTAACTGGCCTAGGTGGATGGCATCGTGTTCTAAGAACTTCTGATGGGCAGAATCATGGATGTGGAATATTTGTCATAAAACCAAAAAAAAAAAAGTCAATCAATATACTCAAGAGCCTTGGAGTTAGAAAATTCTTATGAAGAGATACAAAATCTCCGTAAATTAAACAACAAAAAGGAGAAGGATAAGAAGCATTAGGATTAGTTTAAAACTAAAACTCACTGACACCTGTCTTGTGGATCATTTTGTTTGATATCTGTTCATTTATTCAGCAATTTGAAGTACCATGGGATGTATTAATAGACATGTCCTCTAAGCAGCTGGAATATGTATCTACGGTTCAGTAAAGAAATCTGGAGTGGAGGGCCTCGCGGGTGGTGCAGGGATTAAACACAGCGCTATCAAGCTATCACCAGCCACTGTAGCTGAGTTTGATCCCCACCGGCCAGGGAGCGAACCCGCATGGTGCAGCAGACCTCTCCAGCGTCAGCTGCTGCTCCCCTCAGCAGTGTATTTTAGTAGATCTGCCTGTTCTGCTCCCCAATCTCTCTGGTGAATTCTCTCATCCCCTCACAACTCTGACTTACACCCAGTTCTTATATGCATAAATAAATAAAGCTTAAAAAAAAAAAGATTTATTTATTTATGCATACAAGAGCTGAGGTACAGGCCAGAGATGCAGGGGGTGAGTGGATTCACCAGACAGAGTGGGGAGCAGAACAGGCAGATCTACTGAAATACACTGCTGAGGGGGCGAGGCAGGCGAGGTATGTTGTACCATGTGGGTTGCTCCCTGGCCAGCCGGGGATCAAACTCATGCTGCAGAGGCTGCGGATTGCTTCAAAGTGCGGTGCTTAATCCCTTGTGCTACCAGGGAGGCCCATAAATAAATAAATCTTTAAAAAAAAAAAAGTCTGGACTGGAAGTTGGGGTGACCTAGGTAGGGCTCAATATTGGAGCCATGAGCATGGTTGAAATCCTAGGACAGCGTGAGGAATAGGAAGATGTGCAGGGCACAACTTCGCCTCAGATTTTTTTTTTTATCATTTTAAAAGTTGAATTTTTAAGTGTTAGGTAGGGCATTACTTTCTAGAGAGCCCAGCACTAATGCCATCTGCACTTGCTGCCATGCTTCTGAAGATATTTGAATTTAGTTCTAGGGATAGATTGGGAAGAATAAACTGAAGACCTAGTTAGTTTTATTTACCAGTGTATTCCTCATACTTAATTCATAAAAGTTGCTCTACAAATATATTGATAATGAACGAATAGGTCAGTGAGTGAATTAAGTTGGTGAATTGAGTGAGAACTGAATAAACAAAGGGCCACTAAAGAAACTTAGGAGTGGTTGAAGAAATAGAAAAGCTGAGAGAAAACTATCAAAGATAGAAGTAAAGTCCTGGGAGAAAGGGAATATGAGTGGTCTCTTGTAAAAGGAGAATTGAAAAATGGCCCCTGGGTTCTGTGCCAGGAATGTCATCATCCTGTATGGGGAGCTCTCCGTGGTTCGGTTAGATTGGGAGGAAAGGAGATTGCTGTGGACTGTGAGGGAGAGAATCTGGTTTTGGAGAGGAGAAGAACACGTCATGTTATTTGTTGTTGGAGAAGTTATCCCTGGGAGGAATGGCTCCTATTTAGCCTGGGAGAAGCGCAAGCTTGGGGGATGTGTGAAGATATCTACTTCCAGATGGTTTGGGGTCCATGTTTTAATACCCTGGTGCAATAGCAGTGCTCCTGCATGTTTAAGAACTCTACTCTGCACTCCAATGATACATAATGGTTAGTCTTTAGGATTGGAGTACCACTGGTGCCAAGGAATGAACCTGTGGGGTTGGTAAGGTGGCATTGAACAACAATTCTTAAAACACTGAGAATTGACCTGGATGGGGGTTACAAAAGGAATTCATGACCTAGTTGATTTCTAAAGTTCCTTATCTCAGATTTGGTGGTTATGTAGAGCTGTCCTGGATATATAGTATTTTCATTTTAATTTATCTTGCTATACTTTATTTTTAGGAAACACGAAGAAAGGAAGGCATTGTGAAGCTGAAACCTCATGAGGAACCTCTCCGTTCTGAGATCCTTAGTGGAAAATTTACTGTCTTAGTGAGTCTTTATGGACCTATCTTCCAGTGTCTCATTATTTCCTTTTGTCACAAGTGTCTTCTTTAGATTTTGTTTCTAAATACCTTATCTTGAGTTGAGATAGTATCAACATGGGGTAGATGCAGTTTGTAGAAGTTATTCTAGTAGTAGTTGAAATCTTAGAGAATCAATTAGACTCTAAACCATGGATTTAGAAAAGTTTCTTTTTTGGGCCACTAAGGGTAATCAGGGTGTTTGGGGTGGATATATGGTGCATGTAAGTTCTCTCCAATTAGAGACCGCAGCCTCTCAGTTAAGTATACAGTGATGCTTTTAAGGTAGTATATGAAAATGAAAATCACGGTTGTTATAGTCTGTGGTTTTCCTCTGATATTAACTAGTGGAGATTAATGAGGTGGAGAACCATCCTTGATCTCTGCAGTTGAAAAATTACGAGAATGCATTTTTTTTCCTACCATAGTACCAGAGGGTACTGAGAGAATCAGGCTTGGGCTGATACAAGTTTTCTTCTCTGGCTAGAGCGGTTATGTAAGTCACCGAGAAGTATTGCCATCAATTATTCTTCAATCAAAAGTTTTTGTCCAGGATTTAAGAAGCCTTGGTGATTGTTGTGACTTTCTATTGGATTTCTAAACATTTCTTTTTTTATTTTCTCTAGAATGTTCGTGACCCAACAGGGGCCTCCATCGCCCTCTTCACTGCCAGATTGCATCATCCCCATAAGTCAGTCCAACATGTGGTACTTCAGGCTCTCTTTTACTTGCTAGACCGAGCTGTGGATAGGTGAGCATAGAGATTATCCTTTAGGTGGTCTAGATCCAGATTGGATGGTGACAGTTCTTGATTTGATTAAACTCAGCAGTGCCTTTGCCAGGCTTTTAGGATGTGCCCTGGGCAGTGCAGCACTTTGAAAAAGAAAATAGTCCATGTCCTTCAGGAGCCTGGCATATTTCCAGGCACTATCAGATAGTGGGTTTTCTGTGTCTGTACCTGGTTGACTTTCTTTCAAAATAACAGAAATTTAGAAAGCTAATTAGCTAATAATCTTCAGTGTACTAAGAATTACTTATTAAAAGAGAGTAAAAGGTTCTTTTACTAGGCTGGTTCTTTTGGCTCATTCTCTTTTTTTGGCCAACATCTTGTCTCAACCAAGATGTTGATTTTTAAGACTTTGGGGGCCTCAGTTTCTTAGCTTGTAAAACAGGAATAAAGTCATTTAACTTAGAATTTTGAGAACTGACATTCAGGAGAGAAGAATCCAAAGGTATAAAATAAGCAAAACCATCTTTACAAATAGGTGCGTTCTAGAAAGAACTCTTTACTTAGAACTCAGGTCATCTCTCCCTCCCCCGCAAGGGAAATGGTGTTCTACAGAGAAAGATCTGAAGTTGCAAGAAGTTGAATGACTTTTTTACATTTATCACTTACTGGTCCAACCTGGCCTACGATCTCAGTTTTTTCACTCTTGCCCAGAGCTGCTTGTGCCTTACTGTGTTTTCTTTTTGCCATGCTTCCTTCTTCCCCTGGTGATTGCCATAGACAGTTTGTTATTGCTGTCAGTGTCATTGGCTGGCTCTTGGATTGGAAGTGGAAGGCTGACATAGTGGGAGACAGCTGTGCACAGCGTCAGCCACACTGAGGACTTACAAGATGGCAACAGTCAAGGGATTGTCTGAAGTGAGCTGTCTGTCTCCTTCTCTTCTTACTGCCTCGTTAATGTTACTTTCACAGTACTTAGTTTTTGTTGTTAATGCCTAGTGGAGATACAGCCAAAGTACCCACACAGCATTATTCTGAAAAGGAGAAGTTACTAAGGAGAGAGAGGACTAGTGTTCTCAGTGGCAAGCAAAAGTATGAAATTGCTCAGTTCTTCTTCCCTGTTTGGTGTGCAGGCATACTTTTCGGAATATAGTTTCCTTTGAAATACTGCTTTTGCTCGGGGAAATAAGTGAAAGACTTTCCAGAAAATTCAGGTTTTACCTTCCTCCTCGGGTGTGAGGAAAATCAGCACCCTCACAGGCATGGCAGTGCCAGAGCTTGCCTTTCTAGTAGGAATATTGATTTCTACAGGAGGGCCACGCAGTTCAACAGAATTAAAATGTTACTTTCATGATGTCCCTTTCTTAAAAACCCTCATTATTCAGATGCCACATAGAAGATAAAGAATAGTGAGCTCTTCTCTCCAAGAAGATATTCTCAATGTGGGTAGAAATGCTCTCTTGGCCTTTTTGCCTTGAACTTTATGAAATCTTGCCCTTCCTTTCAGACCTAATTCCTGTGACCAGCTGCCTCGCCGTTCCACCCTGTCACAGATAAGACCCACTTTATTCCAATAGCAGGTGTCACCGTGACCAGTCCACTTGTAGTCAGTGATACATGGCTCTGATGTCATCGGTCACGCCGTTGCTGGTTTCTTCCATCTGCTAGACTGCGAGCTGCACGAGGGCAGGGAACCTGTGCGCATGGGGACATTTCTGCGTCTCGGGGGCAGCTGGCAGGCGGGGCTGTGACATTCCGTGCAACCGCCACTCATCTTCCCTGCCACCTGGCCCAGGCCTGTTCTTTGCCAGCCCCGTGTGCATCCCCCGTGCTCGGCGATTTTGAAATAAATGTCAGAGACAGTTTTCAACTTCTTGGTGTCCCTGGGAACCCCTAAGTTAGGAGTCAAATTTAGTAGGGAAACAGTTGTTCTTCGTAGGAAATGAGCTGCCGTAAGCCTCGTGTTCTATACCCAGAACATTGAAAATCCAATCACATTTGTGTTTATTTCATGTGCCCTTCACAGGATGACCAATTTCCTGTCTAGAAAGAATAGGTCCTGCATCAGTATGTGCCATCACTTCTTATTAAATTCTCTTTCCCTTGGCATTGCTTTTTGTTTCAGTTCCCTGCCACAGGCTAGAGGTGTGGAGGGGAAACCCTGTAATTCTTTGAATTTCACCCTTGATGAGCTTATTAGCTTGTGAAGAAATGGGCATTCTCTAGACCTGGAGAGTCTGCTTAGTAATTGTGCCACTTATTTAACAGAATCTTTCATCTTTTTTTATTTTATTTTATTTTTTTTTTGGTGGGATCCTCACCGGTGGCCGGGGATCAAACTGGTGCTGCAGAGGCTGCGGGCAGCCTCGCAACCCAGCGCTCAACCCCTGCGCCACCAGGGGAGGCCCAGCATCTTTGATCTTGGTGAATCATAGTCTCTGGGGTCCTGAAAAGTGGGGTCAAGGTTTAGCACTAACTGTAATACTCAAGAGTCATTTGAAACAAAAATGCTGGAAAAGCTTGGGTCTACCTCGGAATTAGATATTTGAGATTTTGAAATGCTACTCATGAATGGGTTCTTCTGCCTTGAATTTTGTTGAAAATATAAAGATAATGGGATTTTCAGGAGATTATACAGAAAATCTAGGGTATGAAATAGCATTGGGACTCCTGATTTTAGTTGTTGTTTTGTGCATTCCAAATTTCTCAATTGTAAAGAGATCTGAAAGTTTTATGTACCTGCTTGCAAAGACTGTGTTAGGTGCTTTGGGGGTAATGAGGTGAATAGAATATGTTTTCATCCTCTAAGAGAATCAGATGGCTATACAAAGTTGGAATAAGAGCCACAAGAAAAATCCATAGGGAGATTATTAAAGGCTCCAAAGAGGTGAAGGATGTTAGTACATTTGATTAGTTATCAGGGACTTTCATGGAAGAGGAAACTTTTTGACTTGAACATGGAATGTTAATAGAATTCCAAGTTAATTCTGAATAAACTAGATGCTCTGGAACATTCTCAACCTAGGAATTTGTATCAATAAGTATAATTCCAAGTTTAACATGTGGGTTTTTCCCTGCACATCACCAAGCAATTCTCTGGTATAAGCTCAGTGTTCTGCAGTTCAACTCAAATCTGACATTATCAATTGATTGTTTCAGGTCCCACAGGTTAAGGGTTCATTTCTACAGAGGGAAGAGATGCAATAGGGCAAGCAAGGAATGGAAAAACAGGTGCTTCTAGACCACCTCCCAGGACCTCCATATAGTCAACATGGGTGCTCTCCAAACCCCATCTTTCTGAGTTTTTATGGATGCTTTATTTCGTAAATATGGTTGATTAGATCATTGACTATTGTTGATTGAACTTACCTCCAACTTCTTTCCCCTGCCTGGAAGTAAGGGTGGGAGTGAGACTGAAAGTTCAATCCTTTAATCACTAAGTGGTTCACCCACCAAGCAGCCCTCACCCTTAGGGGACTTACAAGAGTCCTAAAAGTAACCACATCCACATAAGACATCTTTATGTTCTCTTTGGAAATTCTAATGGTTTTAGGAGCTCTTGTTAAGAACTTGGGTGAACATCAAATATATAAATAGTATTGTAAACCCTCGGATTGCAATAAGCATAGCAGATACCAAAGATAAACCCTCTCACTGTAAGACCAGTGTTCAGGGATGCAGTTATTTTGGTACCAGTTGTGTCCCATACTCTGTGTCTTTGTTTTTGCCCCAGATTTTCAACCTACCTCTTCCATCTTATTACTTATAAATTTTTTTGTTCAATGGTTGGTTTACAGTTTTGAAACTCAGAGGAATGGACTGGTGTTTATTTATGACATGTGCGGTTCTAATTATGCCAACTTTGAGCTGGATCTTGGCAAGAAAGTCCTGAACCTGCTAAAGGTAAGGATATGAGAAGGCCTTCTTAACTCTCCTTCAGTGGCTGGGATGTTGTTTTCTATTTCTATTATTTTCTATTCTTTGGGAGATTTAGGAATGATACAACCTTTAGACATTATGTTGAGCTTAAAAGGTAACTGTAAATAATGAGTAGCATCTACTTCCTCAGGAAAAAAAATGGTCTTAAAACAGGAGTTAAAATAAAAAATGCACAGAAACATTTTGAGTCATGAAGGTGGGAAGTCCCTTTCCTAGATTTTTGTAGAATCAGAATTAATGAAGGCCTATGTATAATCACTGTCTGTGTCAGATGTCATCTAGCCTGTCATGCCTTTCACACTTTTTAGCCTTGATCTAGTCAGAAATGCATTTCACGGGGCCTCCCCAGTGGCGCAGCGGTTGAGCGCTGGGTTGCGAAGCTGCCCGCGGCCTCTGTGGTGCCGGTTCGATCCCCGGCTGCTCCCCGGCCACCGGAGGAGGGTCCCACATGGCGCGCAGACCTCTCCTGCCGCCCACTGCTCCCCTCAGCAGTGTACTTCGGTCTTTCTGCCTGCTCTGCTCCCCGCTCTGGCTCTGGTGAATTCTCTCACCCTCCCGAGCTTCTGACTGTACCCAGTGCTTGTATAAATAAATAAATAAATCTTTAAAAAAAAAAAAAAGAAAAAAAGAAATGCATTTCACATTGGGACTTTTTTTTTTTTTTTTTTTAAAGATTTATTTATTTATTTATTTATACAAGCACTGGGTACAGTCAGAAGCGGGGGAGGGTGAGAGAATTCACCAGAGCCAGAGCGGGGAGCAGAACAGGCAGAAGGACCGAAGTACACTGCTGAGGGGAGCGGCGGGCGGGCGGGCCGGCCGCTCGAGAGGTCTGCACGCCATGTGGGACCCTCGCCGGTGGCTGGGGATCGAACCGGCACTGCAGAGGCTGCAGGCAGCTTCGCAGCCCAGCACTCAACTGCGGCACCACCAGGGGAGGCCCCACATTGGGACTTAATACACAAATGTGTATGTACACTAACTATATACATACAAGTAGAGTTATATACAGAAATAGGCCCTAATCTCTTATCCCGTACTCTTATGTCCAGAAGTATTTTAATATTTTAAACTTTGTCCCCCACTTCAAAGGTTTTTGGGACATTTTCCCCCATTTTTCTTCAATTGAAATTTTAATACCACAGGCATGCTGCACATATTTTTATGTGCTGAATGTATATCTGTGTTTTATATAATTTTTTTTTTGGCTTATTTCTCCCTCTTCTAATGTATTGAAATACATGCTTGAAAATATACATCTAGAATAGCATATAGGGGTAGAATTATAGGCTTATAAATAGGGTTATAAGGTCTGAGAAGATTCAACTTTGTAAGATAGGGTCAAATTGTTTTCCAAAGTGGTTGTACCAAACTGCCAGCTGTAAACTTTCTGTTGATCTACATCCTCTCTGTACTTAGTAATGTCAGACTACTGAATTTTTTCCCAGTCAAGTGGGTGTAAAATGGTATCTTGTGGTATAACTTGTATTTTTCTTTTTAATGATTTGAAGTATTTCTTCATACATTTATTAGCCATGTATTGTGGCCATATATGTTTTCTTCTGCAAAATGCCTGTTGATGGCTTTAATCCATTTTTTAAAAAAATTTTTAAAGATTTATTTATTTTTATTTTATACAAGCATTGGGTACAGTCAGAAGCGTGGGAGGGTGAGAGAATTCACCAGAGTCAGAGCGGAGAGTAGAGCAGGCAGAATGACGAAATACACTGCTGAGGGGAGCAGCGGGCGGCAGGAGAGGTCTGCGTGCCATATGGGACCCTCCTCCGGTGGCCGGGGAGCAGCCGGGGATTGAACCAGCGCTGCAGAGGCTGTGGGCAGCTTTGCAACCCAGCGCTCAACCGCTGCGCCACTGGGAAGGCCCTTTAATCCATTTTTTAAAAAGATTTATTTATTTATGCATACAGAGCTAGGGTACAGGCCAGAGATGCGGGGGGTGAGAGGATTCACCAGAGACAGAGTAGGGAAAAGAATAGGCAGACTGACTGAAATATACTGCTGAGGGGAGCAGCGGGCGAGACAAGAGAGGTCTGCTATGCCATTGTTGTCTGCTCTCTGGCCGGCCGGGTATCAAACTCGTGCTGCAGAGACTGCACATTGCTTTATAGTGTGGTGCTTAACCCCTTGTACCACCAGGTACAAGGTTTTGCATTTATGTAGCTTTTAATTTATTGATACTAAATTGTTCATGTATATAAATCTGTACATACATACATTCATATGATATCTCTGTTTATAGCTTATTTGTTCACTTTTTATGAAGACTTTTTCACCAACATGATTAAATGGAACTATGTTTTCTAATGTCTTAAATTCTTCTCTGTTTCAAAGTCAGAAAGATTATATTAACTATTTTCTTTTTTTTTTTCCCCTCACTGCTCTACACTGATTCTACCATGTGCTTTAATTTGTAGTTGATTTTTGTATTGTAGTAAAATATGCATAACATAGTTTACCATTTTAACCATTTTTATGTGTACAATTCAATAAAATTAGGTATCTTCGCAGTTCACCTCTGTCCATTTTCACAACTGTTTGGTGATCCCACACAGAAGCACTGCCCCTATTAAACAGCATCTCCCCACCCCATGAATTTGTCTCTCTGAATATATTCTAGGACCTCATGTAAGTGGAATCATGCAGTATTTGTCCTTTTGTGTCAGTTTTATTTCACTTTGCATAATATTTCCAAGGTCCATTCATATTGTAGCATGTATCAGAAATTTATTACCTTTTAAGACTGAATAATATTCTGTCATATGTGTAGGTCACATTTTGTTTATCCCTCATCAGTTGATGAACACTTAGGTTGTCTACAACTATTCGCTTTTAAGAATAATATTGCAGTGAACGTGGGTGTACAAGTATCTGTTTGAGTTCCTGCTTTCAATTCTTTTAGGTTTATACCTAGAAATGGATTTGCTGAATTGTATAGCAGTTCTACATTTAGCTTTTTGAAGAATTATTTTAAAGGTTTCTTTGATTTTGTCACTTACAACCTTAATTCATCTGGACCTTAAATGGTTTTTGGGTAGTAATAAGATATAGGGATCTGTTTTTCCTATGATAGCTATTTTTTCCAGTTTTGCATTTTAATAGTTCCTTTCCCCATAACTAAGACTTTCCATTTGTCATTTTTAACAGTTATGAATCCTGGTAAGTTAGTATGACATAGACAATTTAACCATTTAGGTATATGAATTATTCAGGTTGTTTCCAGGATAAAATAATGTTATTATGATCATTTTAGTTTTTTCTTTAAATTATATTATTTCTAAGACTTAGATTACTTGGCTAAAGATTATGAATATGTTTATATCTCTCTTATATACCACTAGGTAACCCTCTATAAAAGTGGGAAAAAGTTGACATTGTCACCATTAAGTATCCACTTCCTTAAAGCATCCCAGCACTGTATACTCTATAATTTTTCTTTTTTTGAATTCAGAAATTTTGCTTGTTTAAATCCTTTAAGTATTAACAAAGTTGTATCTTTTTCTCAAATATTGTTATGTTGCTTGTGTGTCCTCCTGTGTTGAGTTTAAAATAATGAAATACTATAGATGTTTTGTTGTTTTTGTTATATAAATTCAGAAAGCTGAAATCAAGTCCTGTTGCTTTAGGATCCATATCATGTTCTTATTAGTGATTTAGTTGTTGTCATTGGAAACAGATACAAATATAAATACAGTCCTCATTATTGTAAAAGTTGTAAATAGAATTTAATTTTTAAAGCAGCTCTACACTCCAGACTTCTATTTAGTATGAATTAATTTCCAGCAGTTACTGTGAAGAGAATTTGGTTCCAAATACGACGTTGGAATAAAAACGTTAGTCACATTTGACTTCTTTTTTTTTTTTTAAAGATTTTATTTTATTTATACAAGAGCCGGGGTACAGGCCAGATGCGCAGGAGGGTGAGAGGATTTACCAGAGACAGAGCGGGGAACAGAACAGGCAGACTAACGAAATACACTGCTGAGGGGAGCAGTGGGTGAGACAGGAAAGGTCTGCTCGCCATGTGGGTTGCTCCGAGGCTGGTGGGGATCGAACCAGCGCTGCAGAGGCTGCAGACAGCTTCACAGCGCTGCGCTCAACCGACTGCACCACCAGGGAGGCCCCGCCTTTGACTTCTTATTTATTTATTTATAAAAGATTTATTTATTTATACAAGAACTGGGGTACAGACCAGATGTGCGGGAGGGTGAGAGGATTCACCAGAGACAGAGTGGGGAGCAGAACAGGCAGACTGACTGAAATACACTGCTGAGGGGAGCAGCGGGCGAGACAGGAGAGATCTGCTCGCCATGTGGGATGCTCCGACGCCGGTGGGGATTGAACCGGCACTGCAGAGGCTGCGGACAGCTTCACAGTGCTGCGCTCAACCCCCTGTGCCACCAGGGAGGCCCCCCCACCTTTGACTTCTTAAAAGTTACTCTGAATAGATTTCTCCTACTTTGGTAAATTTCTTTTTATTAATTCTGGTTTTAGATTTTTGTATGTCTTCAGCCTCTAGGGAAAACATGTGGCGGTATCTCAAAACATTACAAATAGATCTACCATATGATCCAGCAATCCCTCCCTGAGGTACCTGAAGAATTTAAAAACACTAATTCAAAGGGATCTATGCACCCCTATATCTATTTTAGCACTATTTACAATAGCCAAGATATGGAGACAATTTAAGTGCCCAAAGAGAGATGAGTGGATTAGGAAGATGTGGCATACATGCACATTGGAATACTATTCAGCTGTAAAAAAAGAAATCTTTCTTGCCATTTGTGACAACATGGGTGGAACTGGAGGTGGTTATGCAAAATGGAACATGTCAGCAAAAGAAGGATAAATACCCTGGATGGTTTCATTTATATGTGGAATACAAAAAACAAAGCAAAGGAACAGCGCATCCCTGGTGGTGCAGGCATAGAGTCTCAGCTGTTGTCAGC